TAAGACTTGAGTATGCGCTGTCTTTCAGAGCTTTGCTTGTTTGTGTGGAGAGAGATAACGAGGCCAAAAATATCTTGATTCCTTGATTCCTAAAATGTGGCTTATTTATTTCCTAATGTCATTTTATGAACATCTTAAAGTGACTATAGAGCTCAATGAATGATTTATAGGTTTCACTTTGCAGATCCAACTGGTTGGGCTGGTATCACACTATCCTAACAATAGCTACTGTGTGAACAGGGTGTGTGCTCCTCTGTTATTAACATCAAATAGTTAGCAAAGTCAGATGGTACCAGATAAGGCCTCATAGCTCAGTGGATAGAGCACTGGTCTAGTAAACCAGGGGTCGCGAGTTCAATTCTCGCTGAGGCCTCACTTCCTTTTTGTCCGAGACCATTGTACGCAAAGTGCAGCAAGGGACGGATGGTCTTGGGGCCAGCACACCAGCCTTGAAACGGCTACTTGGTGCATGCCTGTGGGGCAGGAGGTATGCCGGAAGAGGAGGCAACAAAGTGCGCAAAGGCTGTCGCTCAGTCTAGATAAGGGCAATGGTTGAGATGAGAGTAGAGGAACTCCTGGAAAGAGCTATGGGAAATGTAAACACTTAGAGCTTTACCACCCTTATGTCCAATCTCTTTTCTTTGTTACCATCAGGGCTACATATGATGTCCTGCCATCTCTCAAAAAACTCAGCCAGTGATATGGAGATGATTCCACATGCTCCATCCTCCATACTCCTGCAACGGTCAAATACATCTTGGTGGACTGCAAATGAGCCTCATTTAAGGCCAATACAACTGGCAGCACAACCAGGTGCTGCACTGTCTGGCAGCAGTGCTGGAAAAGCCAACAGACACGAGCCAGCACCCTTTTTCCTTCTCTATCCTCCTCCTGGCCAGAAGCAGCGTTCGTCCGTTAAGGTGAGGGTCAAGCCAGGCCTGCCAATTCAACGCTGGACAGGTAGGCTGAGCATGTGACTTGAAGATGTTGACAGACTTGGGCGAGGGGCTTTACTTCCTATCTGAGATTGCAGTAACCAACCACAGACCAGAGCTTGTTCTTTGGTCTGCCTCACTCCAGGTGTACATCATTGAGCTTGCAGTTCTCTGACAGAATGCAGTAGATGAGGCGTAAAAGTGAAATAAAGTGAGTTATGCGGACCTGGAAGCTAAGGTTCTACAACAAGGCTTGAAGGTAAAGGTCTGACTGGTAGAAGTAGGCTCCAGAGGGTTTAGCCACATCAACATCAAGGCTACTCTGGGAGTTGGACGAAACTCCAACCGGCAGGCAGTCAAACACCTTTCCAGAGCTGCTGAAAAGGGGAGTCAGTGGCTGTAGAGAAAGGACTCCATCTGTGCCCTCAGGTGAGCAGATTTAGAGAGTGCGCTCGGGACTCCGGGATTCACTGCTGAGGTGCCATGGGCCTATCAGCGAAACACTGAGGAAGTAGGGCGCCGCATCAACGATCTAATGGACAAGGTGATTAAATTGACTCGAAAGCACAATGAATGATGTGTAGGCCTTTATTTGCAGATTCAACTAGTCTGGCTGGTATCACATCCTAAAAATAGCTACTGTGTGAGCAGGGTGTGTCCTCCTCTGTGAAATAGTCAGTCATGTGATATAGAAGGAGGCAAGGGAAGGCAACAAGGTGTGCAAAGGCCCTTGCTCAGGCTATTGAAGAGCAATTCATACTCAGTGCACGCATTACTTTCCTTATGCCCATCAGGGCTATGCGTAGGCCCTGATACAACAAGCAGATTTCAAAGAACTAGTGGCGATGAAGGCCGCCTGTGGCATCGCCTCAAGTTGCACTAGAACACAACGCAAAGACTACAGCTGACTGCCAACCACCACGCACGTTCTGCGCATGCGTGAGAGGAAATAACTCTTCATGCCAGCAGGCAGCAGTAGTCGTTTGATATGATACAAGAAGACCATTTTCACACCACTGTCGCTCACCACTCGTATTATAGGTAGCCTACTAATTGGGAACAACGTCTGATAAAAAGTTGAAAATGGCGCTGGCGTTGTCAGCTCTTGGTCTTTTAATGGAAAAAGAAAAGAAGAGGCGGAGGAGACAAATAAGGAGAAACCTCAGTAATGGGTGAAAGCATGGATACTACAGAGACATGCTCAAGAGGCTTTCATGAACCTGAGAGGAGAGCTGGAGAGAAATGAAACCTCCCAAGAGCCAATCAGATATTCTGCTCACCGAACGGCCGCCGATTCAACATGTCGAATTGGCCAAAAAAAGGCTGACGGGGTCCGAAGGGTATCGACGGAGCCGGACACACCCCAAAACTAGGGTTACGACCGCTCACCGACGGTCCAACTAGGACAGACTGCCGGTGATCTCCTTGGTGTGTCACGGCCTTATGACGTTCTACCATCTCCCAAAAACCAGTGGAATTGAGAGGATCCCATATGCTCCAGCAACAGTCAAAAACATCTTGGTGGGCTGCAAGACCAGGTGCTGCAGTGTCTGGCAGAAGTGCTGGAAAGTCGTGAGACAAGCATCAACTCCCGTCCCCCTCCTCAATCCTCCTGGCCAGCAGCAGCGTTCTTCCGTGAATGTTAGGGTCAAGCCAGGCTCACCACTATACGACCCACAGGATGCCATCTCTCACTTGAGTATCCCACAGTCTTTCAGGAGTGTCTCAAGTGTTTATGTAAGGGATATTAACACCTTATCCCGATCAACAAGGTGATTAAAGGGACTCTAAAAGCACATTTAATGACGTGTAGGCCTTTATTTGCAGATTCAAATAGTCTGGCTGGTATCACATTATCCTAACAATAGCTACTGTGTGAGCAGGGTGTGTCCTCCTCACACCTAATGACATTAAATAGACAACCATATGTCACATGAAAAAGTAAGGCCTCATAGCTCAGTGGTTAGAGCACTGGTCTTGTAAACCAGGGGTCGCGAGTTCAATTCTCGCTGGGGCCTACTTCCATTTTCGACCTTGACCATTGTACACTAACTGCGGCAACGGAGGAATGGTCTTGGCCTTGGGTGCCAGCAGCTATACTAGCAAGAAGATGGCAACACGGTGTGCGAAGGCTGTTGATCATGCTAGTTAAAGAGCCCATATTCTGCCCTTTTTGGGGTTCGTATATTTAATCTATGTACCTACTTTTGTATGTTCACAATAGCTAAAGTCAGAGAAAAGTGTCTGTTTTCATGAACTGCTCTCACACTGACAATGACGTCGCACTGACACATTTTTATCGAGGGGGGCTAGAACCGAGCGTTACATGCAGCTAATGCTACAGCTAACAGGAGGACGTAGGAGAAGCTGCGTTTCTGCTGACTTTGAATTTTTGCACATAGATGTGACTAAACATGCACAGGACACTTGGAAAACACTAAAGGGCATATAAAACCAGAAAAAGCCTAATATGGGACCTTTAAGGGCAAAGAATGAGATGGGAGTGGGAAGAGGGGAGGGTAATCTTCTAGTAAGAACTATGGGAACTGGAAAAACTCAGAGCAAGCTTTATTGTCCTGTCGAACCTGATTTCCTTATGACCATCAGGGCTATGTATGATATTCTCCCATTTCCCCAAAATCTCAGCCAGTGGTCTGGAGAGGATCCCACATGCTCCTGCAATGGTCAAATACATCTTGGTGGGCTGCTAAACTCAAGCATTACAGCCATTATTAGCAGCCAGCATTACTCAAGACCGATACACCTGGTGGCACAACCAGAGCATATGGGTTTTGGTGGCAGTAGCTCAGTCTGTAGGGACTTGGGTTGGGAATTGTAGGGTCGCCGGTTCAAGTCCCGGCACGGTGCAAGTCCGGAAACTGGTCTGGCAGCTGGAGAGTTGCTAGTCCACTTCCTGAGCACCACTGAGGTGCCCTTGAGCAAGGCACGTAACCCAGCTCAGGAGCACCCACTGTGGGCAGCCCCCTCACTCTGAGACCTCTCCATTAGTGCATGTCCATAGGATCCTGTTTGTGTAGCATGTTTACTAGACAGAGTGTAAAAACAAATTTCCCCTCACGGGATTTATAAATTATTATTATTATTAACCGTGTGTTGCAGTGTCTTGCAGCAGTGCTGGAAAGTAGTCAAACAAGCATCAACGCCTCTAATCTTCTCCTGGCCAGCAGCAACCTTGTCCGTGAAGGTGAAGGTAAAGCCAGGCTCACCACTTCAAGGACAGGCACTGGACAGCTAGTCCAAGTGTGCGACTAGGAGATTTTGACAGACTTAGGTGAGAGACTGTTCTTCTCACCTGAGATTGCAGTAACCAACCTCCGACCATACCTCTTACTTTAGTTCTGCTTTCCTCCAGCTCGTCTGAATCATTGAGCTTACAGTTCCCTGGCAGGACGCAGACGATGAAGCGTAAAATCGAAAGAAATTGAGTTGTGCTGACCTGGCTGCCGACGCACAACAACGAGGCTGGAGGGCAAAGGTCGGACCGGTTGTAGTAGGCAGCATAGGGTTTAGCCACATCAACATCAAGGCTACTCTGGGAGATGGGAGTGCGAGGAAAGGACCACCGACAGGCAGTCAACGACATCTCCAGAGCTGCGGAAAAAGGGGAGTCAGTGGCTGTGGCATAAGAGAATGGACTCTAGCTAGGCCGTCAGGTGAGTAGATGGCATCAAGGAAGCGACTTGGGACGCCGGTATTCACTGCTGAACCCTCTGGGGGGTTTTGTGGACCTATTAGCGAAACACTGATCAAGGACGGCACCAACTTGTCATTCCACAGGATTCCATCTCTCACTTGAGTATCCCATATAGTCTTTGCGAGGTGTCTCAAGAGTGCATGTAAGGAAATTAACACCTTGTCCTAATCAACGATCTTATGGACATCTTAAAGGGACTCTAGAGCACAATGAATGACGTGTAGGCCTTTATTTGCAGATTCAACTGGTCGGGCTGGTATCACAATAGCCAACAATAGCAGCTGTGTGAGCAGGGTGTTTCCTCTGTAATTACCATTAAATAGTCAACCATGTCATGCATAAGAAGGTAAGGCCTCATAGCTCAGTGGTTAGAGCACTGGTCTTGTAAACCAGGGGGTCGCGAGTTCAATTCTCGCTGGGGCCTACTTCCATTTTCAACCTCAATGACCACAAGGCTGGTGAAAGGTAACACTCTATAAACAGGCACTGTTGCTCCTTGATACGAGTGTGACAGTGAGGTTCTATTAAGGACAATATAATCACTCACACTGAAAGGTTCCTTCTCTTTTTCTCACTCCCTCTGGCTCTCGTGTCCCTTCTCTCTCTATCACCCTTTCTGTTTTTTTCTTTCTTTTGAACTCTTGCCATATTTTCCATTCCTTTCCCTCCCTCCCTACTTTCATCTGAGGGCTAAAGTCAGTATCAATTACAGTCACTGTCGGCTGCCACCCTGACAGCCCGGGAGAAAAAAGGCACAGTGAAACTAGCAAATGTGAAACTTGAACACTCATTTGCAGAGAAAGAGAGAAGTCTGTCATCTGTAGACACATTTGCACCACACTGGAGGGTGGATGATCCACCACGAGCGATAGCAGCCAGTAGTAGACTGAACAGAGCTCAATATCCAGTTACAAACATGTAGATAACGCACCAGAGATCAACTTGTTTAAGTAAAAGTTGCATTGATAAGACTACAAGGGGTTGTCAGGAAAAGTCCAAGTAAAGTCACATGGGAAAATGTGGACAGGCCGCTTGCATTTTACACTTCTAGTACCCCCCACCCCAAGATTTTGGGAAGAGTTCTTGCATGTGTGAAAGGTTATCAGACTGCTATAAATTTGAAAAAGCAAACAAATTGAAGGAGAAAACACTCATTCATCACAAACTACATGTTTGTAGAACCACAAGCTCTGTTCTTGGGGCAATGTTGATATACTTCTGATTTTTGTTGTTCCTTTACTTGAATTTGGGCTCAATGTAGACACAGGAATGGTGGACAAGAGGTTAAAATAGATGTTTCTGTCAAACAAGAACATCACTGGGCTACAGTAGCTCTACAGCAGGGACTTGGTTTAAGGATCAGAAGGTTGCTGGTTCAAATCCAGCAAGGAGCAGTTAGTTGTGAATGTTGTCTGGTAACTAAAGTGGTCTCAGTTCACATCATTGGCACTGTCAGAGGGCAGCTGAGCAAACCCATGTGAATCTGTTTGATTTTATTGTAATATCGAGACAAGAGAAAGACTTCAGACAGCTCTGATATGGTTTTATAACTTTGTTTTATCAACATAAATATATGATTTCACGTCTTTAATAATTCAGAGTGAACCAGAGATGTAAAGGATATTTCACATGGTAAATAAAGGATATCCGTTATTATAGAATCTCTTCATATTTTGTCTGATTTGCTAACTGATTTAGGAATGAGCCTCACAATCACATTTATATTCAAATCTTTTAAACTGAATCGAAATGTGTTGGATTTTGGACTCAATAAACCTTTTGTGTGTTATCATGTATCATTGTCAGTCATATTAAGCTACATTAGTCCAAAGCTGTCTGATTTAACAGACACAGGCGGGTGTTCAAGCTTTAAAAACATCAAGAACCAAAGATCAAGAGCCTACTGACAGATGTTTGTCCACACGGGCTCCACATAATACCTCTGAGCGAGCACTAAATCTGTTCAACAGGTCTTTGTGGTCAAAATAAGAGCTTTGGTTGTAGCTGACCAAATCTCTTGAGACAGAACAACACGGCAGATTAACTTTAAATTAATGTTGCAAAACATACAAGCTGCTGCTTTCAAATTTAAGCTCCACTCCATCGTTCTAAGACTGTGAGAGTATGTGTGTTAGTGTATTTGTGTATTTTGTGTGCATACTGTATATGTATGGTGGGGTTAAACTTTGAAGAGGGCTTGTTGCCAAGCAACACGATTTGGTAAGAGCTGGAAAGACTGTTGTGGTGAAGGGGGGCATTAGGACATTAGAGCAA